ATGTAGAACTGAATGGTATTGTAAAATAATATATATATATATAAAGTTATTGATTGGTTAATAAATATATTAACAGAGATAAAAAAAAAAAAAAAAGAAAGAAAGAACGAAAGAAAATGCCCCACAGGCTTGCCTGCAACCTGATCTTACAGAGGCATTTTCTTAATTGAGGCTCCTGCCTCTGGATGACGTTCACTTGTGTCCATTGACATAAAAACAAGCCAGCGAAGGGCGGGGGGTCCTCAGAGAGCCCAGAACTGAACTAGTTCAACACTAGCATCTCATTCAGGTCTGGAAACCCCAAGGTCACAAGTCTACTCCCTCTGTTAGTATCTGAAGGTGCCATGTCACCCACAGGTTCGTGTGTTCGAACACTTGGTCTGCAGGTTCTAGTGCTGTATTGGGAGGTTGTGGAACCTTTAGGAGGTTGGACCTAAATAGAAGAAGTAGGTCACTGGGTGGGGGACCTTGATAACCCAGCCCACTTCCAGCCACAGTCTCCATCTGCTCCCGTTTCATACAAATATGGGCATGTAGCCTTCTCTCCCACACCACACCTTCTCTGCCAAAATGAACTATATCTTAAACTGGGTCCGAATAAGCGTCTCTTCACACAGTGTCTTGTCAAATATTTGGTCATAACAGGGAAAGGAGATACCATGTTCTTTCTATACTCTTCAAATCTGTAAGCCCTCTGAACAACTGCCCCCGTGGGACAAGGTCCTAAAAGGCCTCTAGAACTACGGTGGGTTTAGAGTTTTAGACCCATTGACCTCTTCTGTTCACTCCAGCTTCCGTTCTTCTTCCTTCCTTCCCTCTGGCTCTGTGCCACCAGCCCAAAAGAACTGACAGTCATAGTGGGAACCAATGACTTGACTACCTCCTCACCCACGGAACTAGAGGTCAGCAGCATAATTCGCCACAAAAACTTTCAAAGACACAACATGGACAATGATATTGCCTTGTTGCTGCTGGCCACGCCCATCAAATTCAATGATCTGACAGTGCCCATCTGCCTGCCTTTCCAACCCACCCCTTCCAGCTGGCATGACTGTTGGGTGGCAGGATGGGGCATAACCAACTTAGGTACGTGACTGCCCGGGGCCTCATGGGAACTACGGGATCCGGGAGAGCAGTGAGGAAGGACAAGGAAGAGTGAGAGGGTGGTGGGGTGGCTTTCAGTGGAAGAAACCTCCACACACTGGGCTCTTAGGAGCCTGGACTCAGCCTCTTCTGGGTGCCAGAGAGATGCTGCGGCTGAGATGCCAACTCTGAACCAATCCCTGGGTATGGTCAGCCGGCACAGAGTGGTCTTGTCTGTGTGCTTAGTGGAATTTCAACCACCATAGTTGTCCAAAGGCCCTACTGTTGTATTTTTAGTTCTCACATGGTAATGACTCCTACCTTGTTCCTACAGGCTCCCATGATGCCCAACTCAAGGCTGGGCTTGTAATGCTCCTGAAGTGTTAATGTTACCATTTATGACATGTTAGGCTGTTACTTAGTCAAAATAGGAAACATATACAGAGCAGGAATGTGTGAGTAAATCCCCACTTGACTGCCCCCCTTAAGAAAACCCCCAAAAGAAACAATGGGTAGGAGAGAGAGAGGAACCACCCAGCCTAAAGCCGAAGCAAGCCTCGGGCCCATGACGATGTCTTGTGTGAACTGAGCCTGGAACTTGACTTCTCTTAGCAGCTTAGCAGAGGAAGACAGGGAGAGCCAGCTGCTGGCTCCAGACAAGACTTAGAAGTGGGGAAAGAGGGAGATGGGGATCTACAAGGTTAAAGCACCCTGTGAAGGAATAACTATGAATTTCTGTGATGAGAGTTGAGACATTCAGACAAATTCCTGCTGCCGGAGGCCAAGACACTGCTTCTTGTCATCCCTTTTGTACTCATTATTTTGTGTAGGACCAAAATGTCTCCCAGAAACATGTGAGAAGAAAGGGTTATTTTGGCTCAGGATTTCAGGGATCTTGGTTCATTATTTGGGGAAGGCCGGGCATAGCGGCTCTGAGCCCAGGGGTGGTAGCATGGGGCAGAGGGTACTCACCGTGCAGTAGGCCAGGGAGCAGAGAGCAGGACAGAACAGGGAAGCAAGAATCATCTTCAAAGGCCTACTCTAGAGACCTACTCCCAGCAGCTAGGCCCCACCCCATAAAGGTTCCATAGCCTCCAAAATCAGCCCCATCTGTGGAGAAACAAGTGCTCAGAACATGGGCCTGCTCTTAGAGGCCTTTCAAATTTAAACTGTGAACCTCCAAGATCCGGCCAGGAGCTGGAGAAATGGCTCAGTGTACCCACCGAGTCCCATTCTGCTCTTGTAGGAGGTCTGAGTTCTGTTCCTAGCACCTGTGTTGAGAGGTTCACAACTGCCTGTAACTCCAGCTCCAGGGGATCGGATGCCCTCTTCTGGCCTCTGTGGGCACTCATGTGCTTATGCACACACAGATACATACGTGTACACACACACACACACACACACACACACACACACACACACTCAAAGTTTAAATCTTTTCAAAAGACAATCCAGCACATCTATCAGTGCTGGAAAAACCTAATGATAATTTTTTCACTGCGGTACAAATGTGTTTTTAATGGCCCCGTAGCAGGGATGGGAGCTAGGAGTGCTGTGTTCCTGTAATAAACAATAGTGATAGGAGTGGCAGGGAAAGGCTCACAAATATGTTTCCTGGGGTTGTCAAATCCTGGAGCTTTGGTGGAACTGGTCCGGAAGAGAACTAAGGTTCTAAATGAGAGGAACATTTCAGTGATGATAGATAAAGTTCAAGTGTGGGTTATCTGAAGGCTGTGGGTCCTGAGTCTATAAGGAGCAGGAAGGAGAGGGTTTGGGCTGGCACAGGAGGGTATAAGGCTGTCTCCAGGCCAGATCAGCTTCATTGTCTGCATAGAGACCACCCCGCCCCGACCTGGTGGCCTGTCCAATGTGCTTTCTCTCTATGCCAGTCAATAAAACATCTTCAAAAACCGACCTGATGAAGGCACCGATGCATATTATAGACTGGAAGGAATGCACAAAGATATTTACGAAGCTGACCACAAACATGCTGTGTGCTGCATATGGCAATGAGACCTATGATGCCTGCCAGGTAACGAGGGCCAGCAGCCCCTCCCTTAGCCTGTAGCCCACCCGTAGGTGTTTCCCTTGCAAGAGTGTCTCCCCTCCCCTGGGAATAGATTCAGATTCTAGAGCCTGGGAAGGGCTCACTAAAGCAAGCTTGAGGACCCTAGTTTGGTCCCCCAAACCCATGTTAAAAAAAAAAAGCCAGGCATAGTGGCATACACTTGTATTCTCAGCACAGAAAAGGTAAGAGACCCCCCTGGGACTCTGAGGCTAGCCGGCCTAACAGGCAAGTCCAGGCTAGTGAGAGAACTATATTCTCAAAACAAAAACAAAACAAACTGAAACCAAAACAAAAAGACCAATAGTCGTTAGTGGACACAATGTCTGAGAAACTGGAGGTGAAGTTGTTCTCTGGCCTCTGCGCACACCTGAACCTATGTGTACACTCAGGAGCATTTATATGCATGCACATGTGCATGTACACACACACACACACACACACACACACACACACACACACACACACACACACACACACAAGTCTGAAAAGCACGTAGGCATGAGGGCCTTGAGTCATGGAACCAAGGCAGGAATTCTGAGTCTTTGGGTAAAGGCTGTACCCACAGTATCCCTGGCACTTATTGGGGTCCCCCTGGAGGGTGAGCATGCAACAAGTCCACAGACGATTTCAGGTCTTTAGGGTCACTAAAGCCCTCAGGATTCCACCAGTTTTCCACCTGTCTCTGACTCTGTGGCACTGGGATCACAAACTTTTGTCACCATGCCTAGCCTTTTTAATGTGGGGTGTAACATACAAGGCCAGCAGTGTGCAGGATCAGAAAGAGAGGCTTGAGGAGAGAAACTCCAGAGAGAGTACGGAAGACAGGCTGTGGGTGAGAGATGTGCCCCGACCGTGGGCCAGGTGGGACACAGGAAAACTTACAGCTACAAATGGCGCCCTCTACTACATTTGACACCCAATGTGGGACTCGAACCCATGACCCTGAGACTAAGAGTCTCATGCTCTACCAACTGAGCTGGCCTTGTTTGTTGCACCCCATGACTCCACAAACCACTCATCAGCGGCACATTTCTCCCATAGGGCCAGGATGGGGTGGTCACCTTGGTCAGTGGTAACCAAATTTATTTGACACATCATTTATTTGAATAGACCAGGTCAATAGATCTCTTCCCATGAATGAGATGTGCCTGGCCTCAATGGACAGCTAAAAATGGACTTACTATGGAGCTGTGTTCTCTGTCCACAGGGTGACAGTGGGGGACCACTTGTCTGCAACACAGAGCCTGGAAAGAAGTGGTATCAGGTGGGCATCATCAGCTGGGGCAAGAGCTGTGGAGAAAAAGGCGTTCCAGGAATATACACCGTGTTGTCAAACTATACCCTGTGGATTCAGAAAATAGCCCAGATAGAGGGGAAGCCCTTGGGTGTTAAGCGTTTGAGGGACTCTGGCAAGAAGAAAACCAGAGGACGCAGCCATTCCTCCAAATGCCAAGCACTGGGCTACCCCAAACGCTGCCTCCTGTCCTGCCTTCTGTCCTGTGTGCTACTCAGAGCCTTGTCCAACTGGGAATAAAGTGATGCCGTCTCTAACCCCCAGCATGTATGTGAGAATATGCTTTGGGGCCTGGCTACAAATCTGGGCCAACATCATGGAGCTTGGGGTGAGGGCAGAAACAGGAGGACCCCAAAGGCAGGCTGGAGGCCTGGTTCGGGGACTGAACGTGGACACAGCCAGATGGGGACAGCTCACTCTGGTGAACCTGGCTGTCACCCTTGGTCACCTGTCAGGTTCAAGGCAGTTTCTGGTGGGAGGGGCCTTCTCTAGCTAGTGACTCCTTTCATCCCTCCTACCTGAATGAAGTCCCTTTCTACCCATCACCTTCGGAGGCTGGAGAGATGGCTCAGTGGTTAAGAGTGCTTGCTGCTTTTGCAGAGGACCCAGGTCCAGTTCCCGGTATTCACGTGACTGCTCCTCACCACCCGTACGTAACTCCAGTTCCAGGGGATCAAATCCCCTCTTCTCACCTTGCTATGCTCCTGCACACTGATGTATACCATCCATACAGTCAGGCACACACACAGAGACTTTTTTTAAACGTCCAACTAAAGGGGATGTAGAATAGAAATCACCTGATCTGTTTGTTTGGGAAAATAAGTCACAAAGACTCGGCTGAGTTCACATGGCTTTTACATCTTGCTGTTGGCTTTAATCCCAATCCGCTGTTTATCTGGTTAAGAAATGGGTCTGGGGTTGGGAAGACACTCATCTAAATGAGTGGAGACAAGTTGGGGCGTGTGACAGTCACTGGCCTTCCCACAGGCTTGTCAGTCCTTGGAGGAGACCCTCCTGCCACTCGGTGGGGATATGCTGGTGGCCAGCCCAACCATAGACAGACAGTCCTCACTTTAGGATTTTGCTGGTGCATCAGCAGAAATAACCCTGTACCATGGGGACCTTTGCACCTACCTGTGTGCATCTCTGCCAGCAGAGGACTCCAGAGCACCTTGGGGTTTCTACCCTCCTGGTCACTGACCCCAGGGGCATACTCTGGACTGGCAGATCTCAGGTTCTCCGAAGAGTGAACAGGTGAGTGGGGAAAGAAGGTGGCGTGTGCAGAAAGATAGCATGGGCCTGATTGGGGGTGGGGCAAATCAATCATCTCATGATGGTCCCTATAGAGAAGTCCAACCCTCCCTCCAGTACCTCACAACCTGACTGTGTTTGAGGATGGGGGCCGTAAGGGTTAATATTGCTTGTCAACCTGACAGGGCTCAGGTAACCCAGGAGACAGACCTCTGAGCAGGTCGGTGGGGGAGTTTTCACAATATGCCAGCTGAGGTGGGAAGAACCCACCCTGAATGTGGCTGGTACGAATCCCAGTGCTGGAGCCCCGTCTCAGTGAAAAGGAGAGTGAGCTGAGCACCACATCCATGGCTATCTGTCTCCTCACTGCGGGTGCCACGTGACCAGCTGCCTCCCGCCCCTCCTGCCACCATGCCTGTCCTGCCCTGACGACTGTGCCCTTAAACTCGGAGCCAGAATAAACCCTCCCAACGTCGCTTTCTGTCAGATATTCTGTACTAGCACAGGGGTCTTTAAAAATGTCCTTAAGGTGAAATGAGGTCACGAAGGGGACTGGGTCCAGGGTGGCTCATGTCCGTACAGAGGAAATCTGGACACAGGGCCAGGGGGACGACTATGAAAGCTCAGACTCCCAGAAGTGAATTTGCAGTTGAAGCCCCAATGTGAGAGTTTGGGGTGCATTATGACCCTCCCCAGCGTCACCCCTCAGCCCTGGCTGCCCAGCTGACTAAGGCAGCAAAGGGACAATGCTGAGAACTGATGATTCTCTAGACCTGGGCTCACAGCACGGTTCGCTCCCCCCACACTGCACTGTCACCATCCCCAAAACATGTCCGTGTGATGGTCCCCTGACCTCTCAGCTGCCCATGAAAGAAAGCATGGGACAGCGGCTCAGGGTGAAGCCAAAAAGATACCCCAGATTGTCTGCTCAGGAGCTGATCTTTTTAGTCTCTTAATTTACTGAGTCCCCAAGTCCCAAAACATGAAATGCACAAGTCCAGCTCCTAACCTGCCATCCAGTGGTAGAGGAGATCAAGTGTGACTTTGTGTATGTATGTACATACACAAATATACACACACACATACACACACACATATGGTATAGAATATTAATGATGGTAGCCTTCTAGTGTTTGCCATGAATTATTATTGAGCTTATGTTTTAATAAGGCATGAACAGAGTTAAACGCAGAAAAACTGCCTACAAGATGCCATAGGCTACCTGAAGTTACACTAAACAGCACGTGTCTAGAGACAGCGTATTTGAAGGTCTTGAGTCAGTCATCAAACATTTGCTGAGTCGTGCCAATCTGTTCCAGCCACCTGGATGAAGCAGGGAGCAGAATGTCTGCCCTCCATGCTTCCGGGGGGAACAGACACAGCACAAAAATGTCACTGCCTATGACAGGTAGAGACAGATCAGGAGAGGGGGGAAGGCTGGGCCTGGGGAGAGCGGCTCCTTGGTAGGTTCTTAGAGAGAGCTCACAAAGAGAGGGGAGCTTGGGGGAAGTTAAGGGCAGTCTGTGTGAGGACACAGCCAAGAAGCTGCCGAGACCGGCCTGGTGCAGCTGTCATTCCCAAGTGAGGCCACAAGGTGGCAGAGTGGTTCAAGACAGGCTGTCTTCTCAGCCCTACTCGGGGAAGAACTTTGGTTCCTCCCAAAGAAGAGAACTTGAACAGGCCTCTGAGTGACAGGACACCCAAGGGGTGACAGACACAGCCCTGAAGGGAGAGAGGTGAGAGGAGGCCCTACGCTGTGCCTGGCAACTGCTGGGAGCATTGTAACAATTGTTACATGAGCGCTGGCCCGGCTCTGCTGTGGCTGAACTGTGCCTCAGTTGGTGTCATCCATAAAGCAGAAGTTTCTCTCTGCTATTTGAGGGATGCTGCCCCTGGAGGCAGAAGCCCTGGGTTGATGGGACCAGGCCCAGCAAGCTCCCAGCTTTTTCACCTCTGGCTTGACCACAAAGCCCTTGACCTCAAGCCTGTATCCATTTGGAACATATCTCAGATCAGTAAAGAAAAGAAAGCTAGCATGCTAGATCCAGGAAACAGCAGGAGCATGGTGGCCAGAAGCTAGTTCTCAGCACGTCTGTGAGCTGCAGACTCCTTTCCTGCAGGATAGAGGTCAGGGCAGCCTGGCCTCAGCCTTGGGGCAGTGAGATGGAGTATCTCACTAAGCTCCAGGCACCCCAAGATCTTCAGAGGCTCGTGTCTCTGAGAGGAACTCTCGGGTCAGACTCACCGTAATGCCAGTGTCGAGTAGCGAACACAAGGCCTCCACACACATCCAAGAGGCTGCTGCAGAGGCACCAAAGGAGGACCCAGGATCTGAGTACAAGGTCCTGCTGTTCTGCTCACCACCACTTGGTGGCAGTCACCAACTGTGGATTTTAGGGTTTTTGTTTGTTTGTTTTATATTTGTATTGTTCATGGTTTGGGGTTTCTTGGTTTTGTTTTTAGATGGGTGTTAACTCTGTTGTTTGCTTTGGCCTTGAACTTGGCTCCTTCAACCTTTGGAAGGCTGAACCACGATGTCCCAGCTAACTGCTATGTTTCAATAATAATAGAAAGAATAAGAATAATAAGAATGTCAAGGGTGTTCCGGGTCTTGGGACTTGTATTGGGAATCCTGATGTAGTTTCCAGGATTCCCCTAGCCAGACCCCTTTGTTCTTTGGGCACAGTTATCCAACCCTGCTCCCCACTGTGGAGTCAGGGTTTCCCGCGGTTTCCCCACCTGCCTGCCTTCCATCTCCCCGCTTGCCCCATGAGAACACAGGGACCTTAACCCGATGAGGATACGGTATTGAGGTTTCTGCCACGTACACTTCCCCCGTAACTGTTTTCATTCCATGTCTGTGTAGACCACACAGAGCACTTCAAAGAAGAGGGCGGGTGTGCACATGTGCATGTGTGCACGGACATGTGTGAAGGGAGGGGAGGCAGGAGAGAGGGGTATGGACTCAGCTGTCGTGTCTCTGTCACATTCGGGCAGTGTGTTATTAAATCACGGTCATTCCTGCTAAAGAGTAACTTTTCCCACTAAGGCCCCCATAGCCAGAACAGGCCCTGCCTTCTCCCAGGGCCACCGTAAAGGCCTTGCTCTCCTCACTGTGTGGTAGTGTCTTCTTATTTCAGAGCATGCGTCCGGGTTCCGCAGAGTGAGGGCTCAGGACACTGTCCTTCTGGGAGGGCGGCGGAAGGATGTCCTTTACTAGCCATCTACGCTCAACAAGTTGTAAAGGCCATGCCTCATGGCTGAAGGTCAAGAGGTACAGGAAGCAGTTGGACACTCGGGCCTTCTCCCTGATCCCTTCCAGCTTGCTTGCCCTGGGAAATGGAAACCACCTCGGCTTTAAGAAGTGTTCACGTGCCCCCTCATTCCCTCTCTTTCTTGTGCTGTATTGAGTCGGACTGAGTGGTAAGTGTGTTTGTTTCTGTGTCGGGAAGCAGAGGACAGACAGGTGGCTCGTAGTTTCTGTCTTGGGGTAACCCAGCAGCAGCCGAATTCTGCATCTGTGCGTGCAATGCAGTCAGAGGTATGAACTGGAGGCCACGATGTCCCAGAAGACCAAGGATAAGCGGTCCTATGACTGTGTGCTGGAGTACCGTGTCCCGAAAAGGGACTTTCCCTTACAGGCAAGGCTGACACCTTAGTCCAGGGTATGCGCTATGAGGAACAGCAGGGTTGGGAGATGGAACAGTGTCTTCTTGTCTGCACTGACCTCCACTGGCCTAGCGTTCTTGAGTATGAGGGAGAATCCTTCACCATTCCATTTTGAGTTGGGACCTGCTGTCCTCACTAGGACGCCCTGGCATGCCCTGTGCTAACCAACCATTCCTCAGAGCAGCACCTTTGAGAAGTCTGGCTTTTGGTGATCCTGACCAAAGGGGTAGATGAATAACAGACCATCACCCTTTCAAATAACAGCTAGACAAGGCTACTAGGTATTGAGAAATGCTTCAAAAGATGTTGAGGTCCCTGAGGAGATAGCTGGGTGCCC